GCTGACGGTTTTATTGTATCAAGTATGAGCTTCGGTTCGAATTTAACATTCATCTTTCTCGACATTATTGGCCGATCGGTTATTTTACTCGATTCGGTGTGATCATACTCAGTGATTTTTGTGTCATTCAAACCATAAACATCTTTGAGATAAGATTTTAATATCAATAGTAACATTGTTGATTTTGATGTACGTAAACATTGATTTAGTTCGTCGACGACGGCATCGGATAACTGAAGAAATTTTTCTTCTAATCGACTTAGATCAATGCCTTCATCGTCATCCGTGTAATCTAAGTATTGCTTCAGTAAATCACGAAATTGTTGTAATTGTGTCGAGCCACTAACGCTGACAGTAAGATCAATCTGTTCGATCAGATACAATGGTTCATCTTGAACTTGATAGGGAAAGTAAGCTAGATTATCAGCAACAAATAGTTGTTCTCCGAGCGTCGTCGATGTTGTCGTCGTTGTATCGTTATCGAACATTTTCAGCAATTGAGATATCAAAGCGCGACGATAAACTCGTGAAGAACGAATTAGTGAATAAAGAAAATGATTGACTGAACAATAAGGTGATTGTTGACTATTCGATGGAGTTACTGCTACTTTGGTCATGCCTAAAAACAGCTGATGAGTATCAATTGTAGAGATTTTTCTCTTCTTACCTCTAATAATCTCATTTGGCACATGAGTTTGTTGAGTATTGGTCTTATTTTGACTAGTCACAGCCAGTAATTTTTGTAACTGGTAACTCATTTTCAATCCATGCATGACTTTTGTTTGGATGATGCCTGGATTTGTCTTATCCAAATCTTGTAGATTTTGTTCAGCGCTCTGTTGAATGTTTGTATCGCGGTCCGTAGTCATGGCGATGAGATATGGAATAAACTGAACAGGATGTACGAGGCCTTGTTCCAATATGCATGTCACGACCTTTCGAACACATTGACGAATTGTTTCATCTTCACTTAAATAAGTATCTAAGACAACACGTAAGTAACATTGAGCAATTGAACTAGCCATCTCCGAATGAACATCCGTTGTATCTTTGAGATTGACACCTGTTGGACCAGTACCATCATTGCTATTTTCATCTTCATTTGGTGTTGGATTTGCTGTCTGTGTCAAATGGAGATAGTCAATGTCTTGTTCAGCCATACGACGTATACAATCGCGGAAATATTCTTCGAGATTGATGAGTACTTGACAACGTAACTGAGCAGCTGTAGGTCGACGATCTAACAGATAATTGTGGTATAGTTGACGAACTGTGTCGCGCACGAGGTATTGTCCATAACGTTGCAAAAAGAATCCAAGACCGACGAGAGATTTCAGTTTGACTACAGACTCACGTCGTTGAATAAAAAATATAAATAACTGAAAAAGGTCGTCAACAGAAAACTAAAACGAAAATAGGGAGTAGTGTGACAAAAGATTGATCGATGTGTTCGAAGTACCTCGAGATCATCAAATTCGCTTTTTTCTACATCGAAATATTTACATAGAACACCTAGGATGTAAATTGATCGAGCCAGTTGTGCACTTCCCTTGAATTCTTCATCAGGTTTTTCCAGAATCTTTTGCTGACATTGGATAACAATAGCTAAACGAACATATTCAAAGGTTCATTTCTGTTCATTTGCTGAATGGCAACTTACAATGATATCGAACGAAAACATCTCTGACAAGTTGAGTATTTTTTGACAAGCGTATAACTGCGGAGAGACAAGCAATGCTTGAATGAATAACTAATTGACCACTAACTAGAAGGAGTTTGGTTAAACTACCTTCCAACGAATAAATAATACTTGATGACGCCGATTTCATCAACGGAACGGTAAATTCAAGAATTTTTGCAACATATTGTACAATAATATTATCATTATATGATGTACATTTGATATTCAAATATTCAACGATAGTTGAAACATGTGGAAGAACATGATCGGGTTTAGCTTTGCCTAGGGCATACAAAGCGATGAATATGGCAACCATTTTATTCGATGAGTTCTAGAGAAATGGAAAATATTTGCAAAGGTATAGAAAATCATAATCACGAACTTGATCATTGGCTGATTCGACTTTCAAAATCGATTCAACTAATTCATTGATAATATCTTGAATAGCTTTTAGGACATCTTTGCGTTGTTCTCGCACTTTCTTCTTATCGTCACTTGATTGTTTATCATTTGTTTGAAGAAATTCTTTCACTAAATTTTCCAACCAGGTATAATTCTGCTTCTGTGCATCAACTAATACATCAATGATCGTTTGAACACGTTGTTTAACATCCAGTTGAGTGCGTGTGGGAGAAAACCATAATTGTTGAAAAGTTTCAAGAACCAATTTACGTATGGATTCTTCGTCATGAATACGTCGTAACAAACGCGAACATATATCCGGTATTCGAATGAAATTCGGTTGAGTCAAACAAACATCGCGAAAGATTTTCACGACACGCTTTCGCACACTGACACCCGTATCGATACTTCGTTCACAGAGAACATCATAATATTGCAGAATTAATTCTTGTTTTTGTACAATATATCGTCCAATAAGATCAATGGCTGCTTCACGTACACTAATGCTTTTATCTGTTAGACCAACTTTCACACATGATTTGATATCGTTGCGTGAAAGAACAGATGGATCAGCTTCGACCACTGTACATAGACATTTCATTGCTTTGCTGCGTATGTTTGTACCAGCTTCAGATTGAAATATGGCAGCTAATTGTTTCAAATAGACATCGAAGGTTTTCAAAAATGGTCGATTGGATGTTAAATAACGCATTAGTAGACAAATATCATCGTATTCAATGTCGAGTGAATATCGTTGTTGCTTTCGAGCTGTTTCCGGTAATGCTAACATTTTTAAAATGGTCACTTTCTCGTTCTTTTTCAAATCAATTTCATCTTCGACTGAAATCGAAGCTTTCGAATTTGTATTCATTGATTCATCAACATCATCTTCATTGACTAATTCAGCTTGTCCAGGCTTCATTCGTCGTGTTAATGTTTGAGTTAATCGTTCTACTGTTAGATTCAAATCGCGTAACCATTGACCAACATGAAACATTTTCGCATAATGACTCGTTTGATCACTTAAACTCAGTTCATTGAGATAAATAACTAAACTGCGATGATAACGTAATGGATCCGTTTTATAAACTTCCATCATATCTTCGTCTAACTCAATGCTTGTTAAAGTTTTATAAACAATAGCATCGAGTTTTTCTTGGTTTTCTTTCGAGTTCAACACGTCGTTATCGATTGTGTCTTTGCGCAATTGTGCGGCCACTGAACCTAGATAATCTAATGATTGCAAGCGTGTGTTAATTGGCAGCGAATGGTTGGAAAAGTTCGTCATTAAGATTCGAGATAATAACGTTAGAAGAATTTCCGATGCAGGCCATTCAGGTCGATTAGCAGTGACAAGTAAATCAGCTAGGAAATTTTCAAATACAATTCGGTAATCATCTTCGCCTTGTTTCGTTCCACATGATCGGAAAAATAAAGTTAAAAATTTAAATGCTAAATTCTGTGCGGTTGAGTAAGTGTTCAACAGATGAATTTCATTCGTGGAATCTGTTATGCTAACATTCATCGTGGATGCTAATGTAACAGGTGCATGAACTAAATGCATGATTAATGCGGTGAACATTTGGATTGATTCACCGGACGGTAAACGATAACAACGAAGACTCTTTTTACTTGTGGGCAAACGAGCAACTGAGAGTAGAAGATCTTCAAGTATAGAATCGCGATGATGTTCATAACGAGAAAACAATTCAGTGAGAATGCGTAATGAATGTGCTTGAAGATCGACGATATTTTCAACATAAATACAACTGACAGTAAATGAGGAAATCTATATAAAAAAAAAGTTTCACGCATTGAAAGGAAAGAGGAACGAACTTACAGCGAGAATAATCGTATCTGGATATTTGCCTAGTGGCATTAAATCTGTAATTCCCTGGAAGAGCGATACTATCTTATTATAAAGGATTTGCACTTGTTTGCATTTCGTTCCGGTTACTTTCGAACGTTTTTGTTTCGTCAATGATGGATCTAGAAGCAATAATATAACAAATGATTTCTTTTCTCTTCATTCAGATGATTTCTTCATACCTTTCGAATGATTATCATTGCGATACAATGGATCATATTCAGGAAAAATTGTCTTAGCCAATTGCGCTTTGATAAATAAAGATGTGTGTTCAATGACATGTTCAATGAGAATTTCTTTTGGCATATTATCTGTTGTCATTATATTTAAACTGATTTCACAAGCGTTGGCACACATGGTTAACCGTTCGAATACTAGATCTCTCCACATTCGTTCTTCTTCTTCGTCCGTTTGTTCATCATTAATATCATGCTTAAGATTCGGACTCATTTCAACGCCTTGTTTAATTCGTAAAGATAAAATTTCCAACAGACGCTTTAATTTCATACGATCTATACGCGACATATACGTTGATAATTTCAATTTTTCCGATAGAATAGCCATTTCATCCAATGTATGATCGGACAATAATAAATCTAGATAGTGATCATCAGGTGTTTGTTCTAATTGTTCGTGATGACGATCATAATCATCATTGAATATGTCTAACAATTGAATGAAACGCTGATAGGAGGTATTTTCTTGCGGATCAGCATCGATGTCTAAAGCTTTGCGTGCTAAACGATCTCGAGTTTTCTTATTCAATGCACTCATAACATCGATCGTGGAATTATTAGCAAGTGGATTATCGTTGGCTCGACGGATACGTTTTTTCAATGGTTGTTGTTCTTCATCGTTATCGAGATCGTTGGCGTCCTCATCGTCATTGTTATCATTATCGTCTTCATTGTCTTCAGTTGATAAACTCCGAATCCGTTTTTTCTTCGGCGAATTGTTCAGGGACGCTGCATTGCTGATGGCTGCACGACGTTGACGTAGTAAACGTTCACCTGCATTGCTATCAAGAGAATAACCATCTTGAAGTAGTTCTTTGATTAGATCGGGAGTAAAGTCTGATGGTAAATGATCTAACTGTTGCGAGATATTTGGTTTCATAGAACGTTGTTTCGAAGGTGAAGAGTTTCGAATGGAAGCTAGAATGAAAGCGCTGAGATGATACTTCTGCTTTCGATTGAAATTAGGTATTTACCCAGTTCATCTGGTTGCAATTTTTGAAGATTGATTCGTATCTTTTCCACTTGCTGATGTGATGGAGCTGGTTGTAGAACTGGAGCTAAATTAAAACAGACAATTTCATCATTAATGATTTTCATAATTTAGACGTCTTCATACTTGATTTCTTAGTCATCGCGTCATTGATATTCGTTACTGGTTGTAAACTTTTGTTCGTGATTTCATGTGATTGTGATGTATCAGACTATTCAAAAGAAACATTTTTTTTCCTTTCTTAACGGTCTGTATACTATGGAAGAGATTCAAAAACAAGAAGAGGAAAGCACATGTCGATGAAAGTTCTAACGGTTCAAATGTCTGCATGTCATTCAACGGTTTATTCGCTGAACAGTCTAATTATTTCAAACCTCTTCGAGACAACGAAACTTACATGTTTTTGATAGTTTGGTGGTTTTTGCGGCGAAACTTGTTGATAGTTCAATAACGATGGGGATGGTGTCATCGGAGCTGACGTGCTCGGGATCGAACCCATGGGTGAGGATATAACAGGATCTTTTGGCAAAGGCGGTACTACAGCAGTCGGTCGAGTTGGACGGTGTGGCGCGATGGATGGATTCTGAGGATAAAGCATTGATTGAGGATCAGGTGATTGAATTGGCATAGATGTTGTGGTCGACATGAAACCGCGTGAAGAATAAGCTATAGATTACCAATGCCTGCTTAATTGCTCTTTTTTCTCTAGGAAATACTTACGCGATGCTGACGCTGTTGTTGGTTGATTGTAATTATTATTGTTTGGACTGATTTGTGGCGGATAATGTGCATTGGGATAGTGGGAATAGGAATTTGTTGGTGATCTAAATCAAAATGTTTTCTATACAAATGAAATTAGATCAAATATTACTTACTGGAAAGAACGTGCAAATGCTGCTGGTGGCTGAAGACAAGCTGTTAATGAAAAGAAAAAAATGAACACCGATGAGTAATCAAAAGTGCAGCATACCACTGAAAATATTTGGATTGTATTGTGCAGTGGTTTGCAACAGTGGAGGTAATCCATGCAGAGGTGTTGCTGCGGGATCTGGCGGTTGACGAAGTGTGCTAAAAAACGAACGAAAGATTTCGTTTTCGATCAATTACGGATTTATTCATTTACATCGATGTAGTCGTATTGGCAACAATCGAAAGTTTATGCGCAAGTTGTTGTGCTAATGCACCGTCACGGCAGTTAAGTAACATGGATGTGTATTCAGCTGTGCTACTATCAACAATGCGTTCCATTCCATGATTAGCCAAAGACAATACAGGTAATTCACGTACCACTAAATTCAAATATTGTACTATAAGCGAATAAATGATTTTCAATCGATACAAACCATCATTGAGTGGTGCTGCTGTGATTAGATTGATGGATGGTAAATCCATGACACGAAAAAAAGTCTGTTTCAGGGATAGATATTTTTCGTTGGTTTAATTCGACTAAAAAAGTGTAGTAAATATCAAACGATGACAGATGATTGAATGCACAGAAATTTACAAGACGAACAAGAAGGAACGAGGAAATGTTATTTGTTATTTGTTGTTATTGTTCTTTCTTTACCCTTTTCCTTCGTCTTCACGTCAAAATTATCGACCAATAGAAAACACTGAAGACAGAAGAACGAAAAGAAATGTGTTCGGAACTGACAACTTGCGACATCATCGTACATATCGAATGATTAAGATGCATACGCATTTGTTTCTAATCTGTTTTATCGGTTTATTTCATCTGAGTAACAACATTCATATTACAAAATAAAAGTCTGTATTTTGCGGGTCTCATTCAAAACAGTATTCACGAGATTATCTAAGATCGTTTTGACTAGTGACTATGGTTGCAGCTTGCCGAGGAAGTTGGTAGACAGCTAAAGCTTGCGTGCGTTGAGTTGTTCTCAGTACTGGACCACCGGTTGCTTGTAAGTCAGAATAATCTTGGGAACGAGACGCAATCTGAAAAAAGAAAACTCGTCAAAGTTTATTCTCATATGTTTTAATAGTTAAATCTTGTTAGTAATTAATTGTAACTCATTCACACTAGCATACTTCGCTATCGCTACTTATTCGAGGTGGATTCCTATTCTTATTTACATAACTGAAAATATACATGTCGAGAGGAAATGTTAGTATGCGGATAGGATTTGTTCATACCTCTTCTTGCTTCTTCCTTCGAGAAGAAAGAATTTTTGATGGTTTTGTACTGTTGGCTTTCTCGTGGTGGTCGAATAGTATCTGTCAATTGAATTCATACTGTTAAGATATTGTAGTGACGACGAGTTCAACGGTGGTAAGACGACCGTTTGCTGCTGCTGATGTCGATGCTGATTTGGATGACGAATTGCTCGAAGATGCCCGTTACGAAAAGCAACTGTGGAAAAATTACTCATATAATGTGTTTCGTTAATACTTTTTGTAAGACTTGGAATGGATGGTGGTATATTTGGATGATCAGCGAGACTATTCGTTGATTTTATTAATACATTCTGTCTTGACGAGAGATCAATCGTTGATTCTGTCAGTCGATCATTCGTCGAAGCCATCGTTCGTTCTGTTGTTGTCGTCGTATCATCCTCAAGTGCATCACAATCACCACGGCAAGCTTTATCTACGAGTATGTCTGTCACAGAAAGTTGATCATCGTCAGAGGACTGTATGGGCAAAACTCGCGGAAGAACTTTCGCAGCTGCATGTGCACTAAGTAAGTAACCTTTTTGCTTCCGATACTCGTTAATATACATTTCTGATGATGTATGGTACGTAAATTTAACGGTATTCTCCGTCAATGCCGCGTAGTATTTGGGTGAAAAAACACGCGGGTTTTTTATATTACGAGAAGCTTTCATTGGATTCGACAAATCATTTCCTGCTGAAGTCATACGAACCGCTGGTAGATCTGGCCACGGTCCTATTCGTTCGCTTGTCGTATGACGTCGATAAGGATCTGCTGATAAAGAACGACGACGGTGCGATTGCCCATGATTCAGAGTTGGCTGTGCTTGTTGAGATTCATGACGAATACGTGAGGTCTGGAGAATATGCGAACCGAGTACTGATGGTCGTTGATCACTACAGCGTAGTAGATCTCGTTTGAACAGTTTTTGACTTTTTAATAGCAAGTTTGCTTTACACGCTGATGTATTCGCGTCCAAACAATTGTTTTCTGTGCATAAACTTGCCTTTGATGATGATTTTCTTTGGGTCTCGAGTACTCCTGTTGATGAATTGGACAAACGTCTCGGTCGATTTTGTGGGGAGGTGTTGTTTTGTTGTTGTTTATTGGAACTGGATCGTTTGGATGTTTTATGCTTCATTCGATGTACACATACGTAAAAAAACAAACACTTGGCAAAAAAATAAAACGATCATGCGAATTGGCTGTCGGATGACTATCCTGTCAGAAGAAAAGGCGAGAAACGAGTGAAACGAAATAGGTTGCTGCTGCTACTGTTGTTGTTGTTGTTTGTGCTTGCCGCACTACTAAGCGTTGGCTGGTGTTGTTATTCTACTGAGTCACCATTGTAGTAAAACAATAAAGTGGAGTAAAAGCCGATTATGTTAAACATGCAAACGTAACAAGTTGTCTCGACGACTATATATTCGATAATAATCTCAACAAAAAAGACTTGTTTTTCCTGTTTGATTTAAACTTGTTTGTGTTTGCTTGGTTAATATTTAAATTTATCGACAAGAAAGAGAAAGTAAAATGAAGTGTTTGAAGTAATTACTGTTTTTACAATGATTCCATCTACATCGACTGACATCTGCGAGTAGATGGAAGTGAAGCCGCAGAACAGAGGTTGTTGCTGGTTCGACAAGGATGAAATCGAGTGGAAATGGCAATGGAATTATTCAAAATTAAACTTTTTTTGTTTTCGATCTATCTTTGGAGTAAATTATGCCGAAAAAAGGCAAAGGCAAAGGTAAAGGGAAAAGCAAAGGCAAAAAAGGAAAGAAAAGGTAATTGAATCCTCACAACATAATGAATGCTTTATACAATTTGCTTGTTGTAGTAAGAAAGCTATCAAAGAAGAAGCTGCCATTAAAGATGGTATTCACAATTCCAATCTATGGGAAGCTCAACTTCATCTCACCGAACTATCGAAAAAACACTATCGGTAGGCCATATCACAAATTTCTTCGTCTGTTCTAACATCGGTTGTTTACCTAATAGTGATATTGCCAATAACATAGCGTATGAAAATGAAGCCCTACGTGATGATATGCGTGAAACTGAAAAAGAGACAATTGAAGTTGTGACGCATCTGAAGAAGCAAGATGCGGAAAAAGATGCTGAAGTAATAAACACTCATTTGCGCAAAAGACCATTCTCACTTCGTTTTTATCAATTACAGATCGATCGTCTACAACAAGAAGTTCAATTTATCAAAATGGAACATCGAAAGAATAAAGATGAATTAGTATATGACTTCTTCATAGAGAACGATGTTTTAAAGTTGCTTTCGTTCAGGTCGCTCATTTCACACGCCAGAAACGTAAATTAGATGAAAAAATTTCTCGAAAAGAAGGCGAACTTGAAGCAGCTCGGCACGAATTGAATAGTGTTCAAGATCTTCGCAAACGAAAAGCACAAATGCAAAAAGAACTTGAAGATGTTCGTTCACTTTTTCTTCATTTTCTGAAATGTCTTCTTGGTGTGATGATTTCAGATCAAAGATGCCACATTCATCGACGAAAGAGAACATAATGAAGCGTTACAAAGATTAGAACAGAAATATTTTGAAGAAAGAATACGACTGCAACAAGAATCGAACGAGAAAATCGAAGAAATCGCTGCACGGGCACAAGACGAAGCTTTGAAGTAAGTGTTCTGCAACTGATATTCATCTTCAGCGCACTGGTTTGATGTTTTGTAGAAGTTTAGCTGAGACCAGCCGCAATGTTTATCGAGAAAACGGAGAGTTAATTGAAACTATTCGAGTATATCAACAAGAATTTATTCAAGTACAAAAGACGAAAGATCAGCTGACACGTTTAATCTCTCGTGCAACCGGTGATAAAGAATTGAATGAGATTTTAATTCAAGAAAAGGTCGAACAGATTCAAAAGCAAAATCAAACAATTAAAGAAGTAAGTTGTTTGATCCAAATCAATAGAACTTTCCTCTCTTTTCTTCCTTAGTTAAAAGAAAAAATTCATCTGTTGGAAGCCTCCTTAACCCAGTTTATCGATGAATTCGGTGTCGAACGAAAGCAGATAGTTGAAAAGTCCCATATCCTCCATGAATCTTCACGAAATGAAATTGTCAAATTGCAACGAAATTTAGAAACCAAAACTAAGGAGATGGTCAAAGTGAAAAAATTAGCGAAGATCATCATCGACCAACGTTCTGAGTTAGAAACGTTCTTTCTGGATGCTTTACAACATGTGAAAAAGCAGATTGCATTTAATCGAACACAATACAAAAAAGATGCATTTAATGCGTATCAAAACCGAATGTTGAACGCTCATCATGGACAAGGAGATTATCCAAAGATTCGAACGTTCAATGAAACATTCCCAGGTTGCAGCACAAACAGTGTATATCATGATCTAGAGGAAGCGACGAAATGGTAAATATCTACGATATATTGATTTGATTAGTTACACTATTCGTTTTTCTCAGGACAAATCTTAGTCCGGAGGTGGATTTTGGTGATTTAACCTGGGAACAAAAAGAACAAGTCTTGCGAACATTATTCTTACGAATGAATACGCGCAAATCAAATCCACCGAGTCTATCAATGCAGAAGTAAGTCACATTAATGTATATCTCAAACTAGATCATAGTCGTTTGTTTACTATAGCACTCAAGTGGATATTGGTGAACATCCGATGAACTCTGATCGTGATTATGCAAATGATGTTTTCGTCACTCAGACTGCGCGTTCGACACCGAATAAAGCATTATCAGAATCTCGAAACAGTACAAATACAACGAGAGCTCCGAAATTGCCACAAATTACTTCAACGCCATCGACTTAATCTTGCCTTTATTTTGTATATGAGTCGTTTTTTCGTGGTAATATTCGAATAAATTTCTGTTGAGAATCAAGACGACGTGTGTAGAGCACTTTGTGTGATGTTGAAGCATGACAGTCATTTATAAACAGATTCAAGAAACATTCACAAGTTTTGTTCTGCGTACATATACAATTGGGGAGATCCAATTTCGAGATATGTCAACACTTACATCATTCTGAATACAGTTTATTTTATGGTCATGAAAAATGTTCATTACATAAAACAGCACGGACTATAAAATAAAACATAATGTACTGCAAATGTTTTTTTTATTCAGAAAGAGCTAAACATTATACAAACGAAAAACTAGAGATGCTTGATAAATAGCAAACAAAGCAAATTAAGACAATTCTTGCATCTCGTAAAGGACAAATAGGAAAGTTTATGTTTTTCTCAAATGTTAATTAAGATTTTGTTGGTTGAAATATATCAGCTGGTATTGAATCGTTTGCTTTGAGCTTGGTAAGTAAATCATCATCTTCATTTGCCGTCTTTTCCACTTTTGCAATAGACAAACGTACTTTCATTTCATTCGTTAGTTTTGGGATGAATTCTCGTGGAATAAGGAAAGATGCAAGGTTAAACAGATCAATGAATATTTTGTAGCGATCACTGAAAAGAAGAAACAGACTCAAAGCAACGTTTTTTTCAGAGAATAGAAATCATTCAAACCTGCACGTTGAGCGTAAGTAACTATAGCCAGCTGAACCACCTGTTCCTTGTTTATTTCCAATTTGTCGCTGAACCAATATCAAATGATTATCTACAAACGAGAAAGAACGATGAAGAATCATTTTCACAACATGTCTTCTTACATCGCCATTTTGTTATCAATGCATCAACATCCATTAATAATGATAGGACTTGGTACGGACCCTACAAATAACGTTCAAAACTCATCGTTCACTTTTGTACAAAGCATACTTGAAAACGTGGTTGTTCTCTATAGAGCATTATCATCAAGGCACCATGGAACGCCCGATGGCTCATACGTCGTTCACCTCGCACCACCAATTGTTGATGAAACTTTTCGTCAATGATTGAACGAAACGTATCTGCATTTTTCTTCACGTCTTCCAACGCTGCTTGCCGAGCTGTTGGATTCGGTTCACTCTAGAGAATGAAATCATAAACAATAAGCATATCTTTATCGATTTACTTCAGCATTGTTTTGAAGAAATTTGATATATTGAGCAACAGACTGCTTGTATCCTTCGTAAAAGCTAAAATCCGGATCGTCAAGTCCAGGTGTGCGTTCAAGCCAGCGCTAAACAGATAAGAAAGTCTTGTTTGGGTTCCTGTCAAACGCTTACTTCGATCAAAGTAAACAATGTTGGTTCTTCTAATGAATTAATCAATTCTTTCTGTTCATTAGGAACTGGAAAAGCATTTTTGTACGATGTTTGATTGTACACAACACGCGACTTATCCGTTAAGCCCAATTTATTTTCGATTAAACGAAATTGTAAACTTTGAAAGCCACTCGCCGGTGATAAGTAAGAACGAAACTCCATAAAATCCAATGGTGTCATCGTTTCTAATATACTTATTTGGTCACATAAGAGATGCCAAATATGTACACAGCGTTGAAGACGATTAATCGATACGAACATATGTGTTTCATCGATGAATTTACATCCGAAAATATCTCGTAAGGAGTCAATTTCCCAAATGATTTGTTTAAACCAAAGTTCGAAACCTAAAGTGCAATCGTTGAGACGATTATCATTTTCTTCTTTTCTTACTTTGATGGATTATAATAAATAAATGTTCATCATGAACAGGCTGTTTATTCTGATCATGTTTTGCACTTAACAACAATTGCGAATCGAGTAATTTATTCAATTGTAAATAATTGCTGTAGTTGACCAATTCATCGCTTGATGGCAAACGCTTCAATTCAGGCTTAACAGAACTTGTTGGACCATAGCCAGTTAATGAGAGAATTTCAGCCAAAGCATCGTTATTAACGGCGCCATTCAATGTTAATTTCGCCGTTGCAGTGTTTGTTGTTTCATCATCGTGCCCAATAATTCGTGCGTATGGACAAGCCATTGTTTTCCTAAACGAAAGAAACGTTCGAATTCTATTCCAAGGAAATTTTTACAACTACAGAAAGAAGTATGTATGACTTAGAATAGACAAAGAATGGTATAGTAATACACGCATGTTTCTCTTATTCTATATATATACAAACGAAAGGACGTTGTGAGAAAAAAGCTATCGTCCACCTGTACATACGTTATTTTTCTTCGTTCTAGTCCACTTCGACTAGTATCACATCTACAAATAATGAATCAGCATCCGGNTAATACACGCATGTTTCTCTTATTCTATATATACACAAACGAAAGGACGTTGTGAGAAAAAAGCTATCGTCCACCTGTACATACGTTATTTTTCTTCGTTCTAGTCCACTTCGACTAGTATCACATCTACAAATATTGACTTCGTTTATATATCACTGGATAGTATGTATAATATTCTCCCACTCTATGTGTCGCTGGCTGTGTTTTTTTCTTCGACTTCTAAGAGCAAATATCTTTACGATTCGATCGAAATGAGTATTGACGTGATACTATGCTGAAATGTAACTATCTAACATATTTATTCTGGCTTTCTTTTTATCTAATATGCCACACCCTTCGAGAATCTACTTCGTTTTTTTTCTCTTATATGATACCAATTTCAAATCCAATGTATATGTGTATAACCTTGATAATGTCAGTACTAACTTTTAAACCTTCGTGCTTTTGTTCTCCTTTTATTATCGCTCAGAAACTAGCACAGGTGCAGATAACAGTGTGGAACATGATAACAAATACAGTTATGTTACCATGACGTCATTATGGCCTTCTGAAAACGTGTATTTATAGATGATAAAATCATAACGAAAATGGATCGACTTGTTACAAATGTAAAAAATAAGTTTGATCACAAGAGAGAAAAGAGAAGAGATTAAAGATTAGATACGTGTCCATTTGGTTTTGCGCATTATTTAGTGTCGATAGATTCCCATCCAGCATCGTCATCGTCGGCCCATTTATCATCTTCGAAATTAATGAGATTCGATGCTGGTTGTTCCTCTTGTTTCGGTTTATTGTGTGTAGTTGATTTTGACTTCGAATCCGGCTTTTTCGTCGAAATGTTCGGTTCATGATTGACCCACGAATCGAAACCTGATTCGAATTCGTGACTGGACAGATTTGTATTCGACTTTGAAGTATTCTGATGACCAGAATGATGTGAATCTAATGTTAATGGCGGAGACGCCTGCTGATATGAAGACCACTCATCCTAAAAAGTCGAAGTCATTCTCCAATTGAACAGATCAAAAAATAAACGTACATGATTTGAATCAGATTGTTTAGAAGAATGATAATCTTTCCCAGACCATAATGATTGCATATCCGACCATGTTTTCGTACCGAATTTCCCCACCGATGATGCGACATTGGTCACACCAGACTGTACATTGTTCATTAATGTACCATCTTTAGCCTGTTCGCTTACTTTAGATGTTAGTTCCGATGCTTTATCGGCGGCAGTTTTCGAAAACTTAAAAACCGAACTTTTTGCTACGCCAGCCCACTTCGCTGCATTCGTACTGAGATTTGATATAGATGACGCAAGTAATTCTTGACTAGTTGGTTGAGAAGATCCGGATGCTGATTCATTATTTGTATTTCCAAAACCCCAATATTTTGGATTTCCACTACCCAAACCAGATCGTTGTGGTTGCTGTTCATTTGAATTATTATTTTGATAACCGCCGTAATCATCGTTTTGACTATCAGATGATTTGAAGTCTGACCATTCGGATGAGATTTGCTAGATGAAATTGTCATGATTGTAGAACAGTGTTGTTGATGTTCGCTTACTTGTGCAGATTTTTCAGTTGTTGATGGTAAAGAAGAAGATGTGTAGGTTTGTGCCGAAGATGTGCTGATCGACCACGGTTGTCCTCGTGCTTCAGTACTTATTTTATCACGATAGAGTGCCGCAGCACGTGTATTGTATCGCTGTTGTAAACTCATCGTATTGGGATCATAATCAGATTGTGTGGCAAAAAACGATTTTGCTTGGCGATTTCCACCAGCTTTCATCTTTTCTAGCTCAATATCCTTCCATTTATCCATTGTAATCGATCGAACAAATGATAGATGAACGCCCAAGCCACGATGCTTACCAGAACATTCCAGACAAATGAAAATTCCTGACAAAAAAAAGAATTATTTCGATGTAGTCGAGATACATTAGCCGGTAGAATCTTACCATATGAAACCGAGACCCATTGAGGGTTTAATGCTCCACATTCGAAACAAACATTATTATCATCTTTCAGCTTCAGATCTTTCAAAACCGACCGAGTACGCGGACTGGCCATATGATATATCTAGAACGATTAAATCTATTTAATCCTTTCTTCTCCAAGATTTTCAGAGAATCGAACGATCACGAGTGAACGAAAAAGAAATTTACATGACAAAAGAAAAACAGAGAGAAAGAAAACATTAATACATATAGATTTCTTTTATTCATTTAATTGTTCTTTTACATCAGATGCTGGTTCTGTTAGACTTGCTGACTTTTTACTGCTACTCGATTTGTCTTTCGAGCGTCGGTGATGACTTCGTTCATCGCCACTGTCGCGTCTTGAGCGTTTTGAAGATTTTTTGTGATGACCATGACGCGAAGATGAACGTTCGGAATCGTCACGACGAGATCGACTATTTGGCGATGATGATGTTGAACCTATTGGGTTAGTTGTTGATGTAATTGCGCTTGACGATTGATCATTGTCGGTCGATTCAGGATTTTCTGATGATGGTTGTGAAGGATCTAGTGTTGTATTAGGAAGGATTGTTTTGGGTGGTGATGAAAAATTTTTTGTTGGGGTACGGTGAGATGAACGGTGACCACGAGATGAATCTTCGTCACCGCGATGGTGACGACCACTGTCTTCCCGATGATGTCGTCTAGAATCACTTAAGTATATGTAGATCGAGTATAGAAATCTAGACATACTTACTTGCGTGAGTAACGCTCATATTTATCATCTCGATCGCGTGATGATTTCTGATCACCTCTTGGTCGTTCATATTCATGGTCACCACTTCGATGACGAGAACGATAGGATGATGATGTACGATCTTTCGGTGATGAACGTCGGCGGGAGGATGGATAGTGTTCACGTTCATCTCTGAAAGATGAGGACATGTCATATTTTTCAGGACCAAATCTTTTTTACCTATATCGTTCTTTGTATCGTTCGTCTTTCGACGCCTTATCACCGTCAGCACCACCGCCATTGCCACTAGGACGGTTTTCTTCTGGTGTGGAACTTCGTGATGAATGATCTTCAGGTGTCGAACTTCGACTAGAAGTTGGTCTGCCATTGCCAGCATTGCCTAGTGCGGGTGGTTGGGGAGGAAAGTGTCCAGGTGGAAAGCCATGCATCGGCGGTCCGCCGGGTCTACGTCAGATGTTAGAATGAATAAATGCATTATATGACATTTTATCAACTTACTTCTCCCATTGTTGTTGTTGTGGATGAGGTATAAAGTAAGATTGAGGTGGTCTAAATCGAAATTTCTATGGTGTATTGAATAAATTAGGAAAGAAATGTTTACCTTTCACCATGCATGCCTCCCGCAGGTCCATGAGGAAAGAATTGTGGTGCGCCAGGAGCATGTGGATGTCCGAATTGCGGTCGAAATGGCATATTCGGCGGTGGTATCATTGACATTCGAGGCACGCCAAGTGTTGGAATGGGATGGTTGCCGCCGGGTGGTGTTCCGTGTTGCGGTTGTGATGGACCATTGGATGTTGGTGGTGGAGTTGCAAGATCGCCCACTGTCTGACCATTAGGCGGTGGTTGACCACCAGAACTAAAACGCAAATTTAGATAATTGAACACAAAAAGATGTTTATTTAGGGCACAGATAAACATACAATGGAGGTCCGTTGATGTATGTCATATGATCAAAAGAGTGGCCTGGTTCAAACATTGGTCGACGAGATGTTAGATCCGTAGCTCCTTAAAGTGAAACATTAGGATAATCGTTAGAACTTCCAATAGAATGTTTCACATACCAATTACATCAATCTTTCCATCTTGTTTTCGAACATTCATAAATGGTCTTGGCATAATTGGCATGTTCATTGGTGGTTTGTTCATCATCATTGCTGAGTGAGGATTCATCGGATGCATCATCGGTGGATGCCCTGGAATCATTGGTGGCATCTGTGGCATCTAAACAAAAAGTTGATGTACAAACAAATCGACATTTCTCTTTTCCATACATGTGCAGCATTGAGACGAGCTAGATTGTTGTCTGCTCGTAGACGTCGTTGACGATCGCAGTACTGTGCCCATGTTTCTTCAGTGAAACCATAGTTAAAATAATCAGTTATATCCGCACCTGTGCAAAATAGTTCGATTAAAAATATCAAAGTTGTCATCGTTTTCAAACCTGGCTTTTTCCAGGGTTTTTCATCGTCCTTATAGGCATTCATTAAATCATGTTCAAAGATTGGCTGTCCGTTAATAACACCTTGAGCATCTAAATCGACGCCACGTGTTGCTTGTGGTTTTGTTGGAATGACTGAACCCTCTAGAATGAACAGCCAAATAGAATCCATCGAACAAAAAACGCTATTGTCTATATACGTGGTATTGCTGTTCGACTGTTTTGTCGATTTGTCGAGAAAATAGCCGCACCAGATTTGATATTTCCAATTGTCACTTGAATTCCATCATCGTCATCATCATCCGAATCATCTTCGATTTGACTACCGACCAGCAATGAAGTTGGTGCATTTGTCACTAACGGTATCGTTGCTTTGTCCTAGAGAGAAAGTTTTATACAACTCCCATTATTTATTCTAAATCATAGCTATTTCATAACTAGTTTATCTTATGATTACAGTTATTCAGTCAAAGTTTCCTTTGTATATCTACTCAAACGTTTCGAATAGTTCGTAGTACAAGATTAGTCGAACAGAGTGCATACACTAATCAATGATTTTGTCTACATCAATACTATTCTTTTAATTTGAAAGTTTTTACACCGAATGACGCCGAACGAAATTATCACGTACTTTATCCATATCTTGTGCTGTACCTTCATCCATCGATGACGCTACTGCTGCTAATTCACTAAACATTGAAAAGAAAGAAAATCAGTTAAATATTGCAAAACTTTCTTTCAACTTACGTATTTTCATCAAGTTTCGATTTTCCATACAGCCACGATTCTTCATCTTCATTTTTAACACCGGATTCGTCGACTAACGCATTCGTATCTGCTGTTATTAAACCATTTGAAGATGGAACCTCATCCATGACTGCTTCAGACATGATTAGACCAAAAAAAAATTTATTTTTCAATAATTCCTTTTTCTCCACTCAGTTTGTATCTGTTGATGTTAGTCGAAAATAATAAACCAATCGGAACAAAAGATTTCCACCTATGAAATAAACACTGCCATCTATCATCTTCTGCTTATATTGTGTTGATTCGTCAGGTATTTTTTGATTATTGATCGATCAATCGATCATTCGCGTTCATTCATATTGAACACTTGTTAATTAGGTGCGGTAGAATAAGAATGTCGTCGACTTATATGGTATTTCGTTGTGTTTTTACAATTATTAACATGTGCTTTTTCGTGAGTTTGGTTTAATTTCTGTCTATGAATGAACCTTGACAAGAGAGAACGTTTTAGGCATTAGGCTTTGCGGTTGTTGTTTGCAGTTGGTGGTTACATATAAAATCGGCAGACTATCGACCGTTAATGGGAAGTCCATGGTTTACTGCACCTGTTGTATTAATTTTCTCAGGTATGCATATCGATGAGATGCTTTATCTCTAGTTTCTTTTTGCTATAGCGAAACTTTCGATGCTACTTGGTGCTGTCGGCTGTGCTGGTGCTTGGTTTGAAAAGAAAGTCTTACTGTTCATGGTAAATATAATCGATTTGATTCGTTGATGATCCGGTTTTTTCTTTCACAGTATATTATCACGATGATTGTTATCTTCGTGGCATTACTATTCGGAGTTGTGTTCGTCATTGCATTCAACGAACACGTACGTATTTTTAATCGGCAATGTTTCCCGACGTCCGACATTTTGCGTATGTTTAGGTTGCAATGTCTGCAAGAAAAGAATTACTCGAAAATATTCGCCACTACCCGGGAGATGAAGGTGCCGATGAGAATAACGCTCGTAAAACAATGAATTCAATTCAGAAACGAGTAAGTTCGAAGAAAAAAAGATCACTTTGGCTCGATAAAAGCATTTTGTATCTAGCTTCGTTGTTGTGGTGTTGATCAATATCAAGATTGGTTCAATGCCAAAGTTTGGACTGGTCAGCCTTATGTGCCAGATTCATGTTGTATTGAAGAAACAAATGGTTGTGGAAAGCAGATAGCTGCCAATGAAACCTATGGTTTAATTTATCTCGATGTATGTTTACAAGTTGTAACGTTAAATCATTTCAATTGTGTTCTCATTTCAGGGGTGTTTCAATATGATTCAAATGGAGATCAATCGGAATTTGATGATCGTGGGAATTTTAGCGTTTATTCTCGTTTTCGTTGAAGTAAGTTATGATCCATTCGTAGCATCACCATTTGACTACGTGTGAGTTGGAAAGGTCACTTGTGAATTAGGAAACGGGAAAGCAATCGAGCGATGGCTGTAATATTTTGCCAACAGAAAAGAAACGGCCAGTGCGCCTCCAGAGATTGATTAGTTTCTAAGTGAAAAAGCAGATATCAATTACATCATGAGAAGGGAACGATTCTCGAAGGAATAGATATGTCATTTGTTTGATAGAAGATCTTTCTACGAATAGAAATACATAGGACAATCATTCAGATGTTTTTTTTTCGATATCTTAGGGTTTTTGTATCGTCGCTGCTCTTGGTCTACTTTGCTATCTTCGACAACGTGACCGTTACATATAAATGTGGTCAGATACATCTAGCTGCTTTATCTACACTACGTTTTATCCCTCGTTCAGATAAACGCACGTTTTTCCTTTGTTTTTTTTCAATAAGCTCAGGATTGTACTGATCATAAATAATGCAACTTTTTTCTTTCTTTATAAGTTCGTAGTTTTATTACTTTTTAATGCCTGTTCAACAGTGTGTGGATGTGTGCTTTTATACGTATTGTACAATCTTGTACGTTAAATAATGATCTTTTATAATGTGTCCATTTTTACCTCGTTTTTATTATATGAATTTGTCAAACAAATTTATTTAAAATAAATTTCACATATTTATCGGAACAAGAAAATAATTTCATGATTGGAGGCATCGAAAAAAAGTTTAAGCTGCTCTGCGAGGGTAGAGCGATGCATGTTCGATAATACAAACATAAACTGTTCAAAACTGTATTAATTATGTGGAATCGCTAGTTTAAATGTAAGCTCTTGCGTTCTCGAGGTTTTTTTAATTGAACTTAATTATGTAAAATCTCATAATGAAAATTTTGTTCTTTTACAAATCTATAATTCTCGAATCTTTTTCATCAAAACTAACCTTTGAGATACGTTATTGTGGTCTTGATATCACTCGAATAAAAATACAGGTGACGTTATTATAAAGCTGATTCATAACAATGAAGGAAAAGCGACGAAACAATTCATTCTATTTAAGATGCTGTGAAACCACCGAACAACTATGGTACATCGATAATTACAGGTGAAAACTATGTTTGCTGTTCCTATACACACTGCAAAGTAGATCATGATATATGAATCGAGGGAAGAACTCATTCGTCTGGATGCCACGATATGATAATTAATTATTCCTATGTCAAAAAGTATCTTTTTTTTATTTCAGACATGGCAGGTACAGGTTTATCCTTCCGAGGTAACAGATGTGATCTGACATAGAAGATATTATACCATCTTTTGTTTGACTAACGCCGTAATTGTGCGTTTATCATTAGAACGCTCACCATACAAAAATTATCGACACTGATTGTAGGGAAAATCTTCAAAACATACCGATTAATGTCAATCCTAGTCATATAAGATGAAATTCGTGACATATTCTACTTACATAATGTCCATGTATACAAGCGATTTACTCGAAGACACATCGTGCCCACATGTACTTTCTTTAGAAAGTGTTCATTTATTGAAGTAGGATAATTTCATTGATTACTAAGCGAAGTTTCTTCTATGGGCACAGAACTTGTTCGCTCTAAAGAGTATCTATACGATATAGAGGTAGACGCTCTTCGGCACGATATATTCTTTTTCGGATTGCAAAAGACTATACAATTAATTGTTTCTATTTCCGTAGACACATCACAGATTAGCATTATTATTTACTTTATCTAAAGTTTCCTTTCTAGATTGTTCTTTTCAACAGCTGATCTATTAGAGTTAAGTAAAATTTTCAGAAGAAAAGCGCCATATGCACAATTTCTTGAGGATATACGGGAAGTACACTTGAATACCATTACATAGTGAATTACCGATGCCAATGTATTTCATTATATTCTTTTAAAGGCACATGTCTAATACGACATTAACCGACAGTAACACAATTTGTTATAAATCTAAATGACTTAGTTTGAAATTTTTCTTAGAAGAAATGATAGTTATTAAGAGATTCATAGTGTATATGAATGTATTCAGGTTGTCGCATTGATCGAGTAAAAATGTTTCAGATATCTGATTGGTCTGTCTGATTGTTAGAAAATGTCATCAGACAAGATGTTAAATAATACATTATTTATTTCAATGAAAAACTTTCCATTATGCTCCATATTGCGAATAATCGGTTATTACTTCATTGTTCTGTGGATAATTGGAACAATTCTCAATGGTTCGGTACTTTATATATTGGTTCGAAACAAGAAATTACGTCAATCATCAACTAATGTATTCATTGGCGGCTTATTATTAGCGGATTTTATTGGAATATGTTTTGAAATACCATTACCCACTTTTTCACTTCTCTCTTGCAGGTAAGACTACACTTCAAGACAAAGAGATCATTTCATCGTTAGATTATTAGATGGATTTTTACCTATACGGGTTGTATTTTTGAAGCGATGATCGTTTATTTCGCTGGTTGTTCAAATATATATATGCTGTGTTTGATTTCCATTGATCGGTAAGAAGAATCATTTCAAAACAGGTTCATCAAAATACTTTCTATTGATCAGATACAGAAAAATCACTCAGCCATTTTCACCACAAAAAGTGAATATCAAACAAACCTACTTAGCAATTGTTGTTGCTTATCTTCTATCACTATTTTGGACTGTTATGCCCTTACTTGGATGGTCAAATTATGATTACGAGGTTCGCCTTGATCGACATATTGATTCAGATTTCTATTAGATATGTTGTGCAAACTTTAGGGTATTGGAATATCGTGTAGTATAAATTGGACTGGGAGATCATTCAATATAATTAGTTACAATATAACGATATTTATTTTTGTTTACCTTGTGCCAATTACAATTATCATAGTGACGAATATCAAAATCTATCTGTCCGTAAGTTTTTGATTGGCATTTGAGAAAACTGGAAATTTTGAGTTTGTTGTGAAGATTCACAATCGATGGCATCACTCAACATTAAATTTTAATCGCAATCGCATGAAGTATCAACAGAAAATCGAACGTCATATACTCAATACAATCATACTGATCATTGGTGAATACAAATAGACTTGCTTTTCATATTCTCATCTGTCATATTCTTCAGGTGGATATCTCATTGCTTGGACTCCTTATGCGATCATTGTTTTCATTCGCATATTTATCGACACAGATCGTATTCCTCCCATCATTGATACACTTCCAGCATTATTTGCCAAATCGAGTTTAGTGTAGGTTTATTTTGCAAAAAGATTTATCATCATCATCGTTTGCCGTTCTCTAGCTGGAATCCATTTATATATATAGTCCGCAATGGAAACTTTCGTACGCACAAGCCAATCTTTTTCCCACGACAACATCCTGCCCAGTCTGGTGAGTCAGTGTGTTGTCCTTTCGGTATGTTTATTTGATTTTCATTACAGATAAAAACTCCAATAAAATTAAATTTTCTATATATCCGTATTCATTAATTCAGTTTACTCTTCCTACACGATGGAATGTTCGTTCAGGATGACTTATTGACAAATACGAATAAACGAAATTCTATTGAAATAATTGAACAAATTCATCGAAACCGATTTTGCCATCACCTGATAGATCCAAGGAAGATACCATTGCCTCGACTTCAGCTTTATTATAACGTCGTCCCATTCTGCTCATGATACTTTCTAATTCTGCTGCTTGAATATAACCTGAGCCATCTCGATCGAATTGATTAAATGCGATACGTAATTCCTCTTGGGTATATTGTTTAAAGAATGTTTCACCCATGACACGTGCAAATTCGTCGAATTCAACTTGTCCTAGACAAAACATCGTTCACGAACAAATGTACAATCATTTTCACGAACGTACCGCTTCCATTCTCATCCATTTGTTTAACTAATTGATTCAACTGGCTGTTATTAACATTGATATTCAATGCGCGAAATATATTGCTTAATTCCGACGCAGATATCATTCCAGATCCGTCTGAGTAATGAAAACTATGAAAAACATGAGCTTCATCGAGTAACTCATCTACCTGTATCGAAAACGTCAAATGCTTCTTTCAATTCTTGACGTTGAGCTTGGGTTAACTTGTTCGCCATTTTACCTTGAATATTCTCGTGAGTAATAGAACGTTTGAATGTCTTTCACAAACAAAAAACTGACGGTGAAATTGACATTATATATACTTAGTTACTATTTCAAAAGAAAAGAAGAAAAAAAAACTCTCATCTATTTTCCGTCGTAAAAATTCATTGATACCATTGACAACAGAAATATTTCTCTGGGTAGAAGCACAAGAAAAAAGAAGAACTTCTACTTTCTTCGGTAAATATATGATTGGCACGTCTAAAAAAAGAAACTTATGAATAGTTTCATTTAATAGTAGTTAAAGAACTCGAGTTCTCGTAGAGCACATTTGAAAAGTGACTTCGAATCAAGTCTATTGATCAAGCAAAAGAAAATCAGAAATAACCGGATGTACAATAGCTATCGATTGATTCATATAATGTTGTGCATGTGTCATGTCGCTTCCGCTATTCATCTTTAAATCGATTTAATCGACACACGCAAATCATCATTATTTTCATTCTCGAAATAACAATCTGTCCACCCAGTTCCGTCGTTCTGTTCATTTCTTATTCTCTTGTTCTATTTCAATATCGGTCAATAGTGATACCGAACTCATTAGAAGAAAATGAGATCGGACGCGACAAGTGGAAGGAATACATCGATGATTGCTCTGGGCACGTCTGTCTACATATTTCCTGTATTATTTTAAGTTCTGAAATAAAAACAATTGTACAAAGAGACTTCATCGTCGTCTTCTTCTTTCTATTCTTTGTCAGTCAAGTATTGTCGAAAGATGAACAGATGTTTATCTATCTATCTCTCTTCTTTTTCTTTTCTATTCGTGTACATGCAAGGCTGTGGCTATGCTTATCACATATCAATCGAGCATTACTGAAAAAGAAAAAAAAAATCAAGGGCTTTTTAAATGAAAGATATTTTCTCGAGCAGAACACG